CCCCAATTTGTTCAGCCCATCTCATTATTTTGAGTTAAAGCTTAGCACTGATGTCCTAATCATTAATCTGTAAATGTCTGTAAAGGGGAGACTCGTGGTTTGCCCAAATGTGGTGCATTGTTCAGAAGTAATACTGACAAGATAGCTTGACAAGGTTGGTACCAATAGATTCCTTTTGTTTCAGATCATAGTAGTATCCTCACACTAGCTTTTAAACTGATTCCGTTTCAGCTTTTGAAGACATTACATGGGCCGGGCCTGCCGTCAGATCAACATGGGGCCATGCAAATTCAAACTTTAGAATCAGTAAAAATAATGCATTTCAATTCCTTCTCTTAAAAAAAGCTTAATAATGTTGTCTAACGCTCCTGTTTAGATTATACTCCTTCACAGCAGCTTTCTCTGCCAAATCCCAATCACGATACAGAGGCTTGAAAACGTTTCGGAAACTTGCTGCCAAACTGCGACATGAAGACGGCTCCAAGATCGACTGGAAGAAGCCCAAAGAGTGGGTGAGACGGTGCAGCACAGTGCAGATAAAAACATGTTAGATATGGCTAACAGCAGAGTGGTATTACTATATCTGGACATTGAGATTGCATAAAAAAAACTTCTCCAAAGCAAAGGAAACCTCAAGAGACAACCAAGTTTAAGATATCTCACTACCGTAGTGACAGAAACAGATTTGGAAATTCTGTAGAGCCATTTCTGCTGCCAATATTGTCCACCATGGTGCATGCGAACCCTCACAACAGAATTTCATGATTATCCTGGCCAAAACAAACAGGATATAATCCAGACAATCTTTAAAAGATATTGTCAAAACTATACTCAACACAACAAATCACTTTACCTTACACTTTGTTAAGACCATAGGTTAAGACACAGATGGATACATATAGATCTTTTTCAGCACAGATCTTAGATATAAAATCCTGAATGGTCCTATCCCTAACACAGAGATCAAAATGTAATAAAAAGCTGAAATGATCCCATGCAGCGCAGAGATGAATGAGTAGCGCCCAAATCAGCAATCACTGATTATGAAACCTCATGTTGCTATAGTGAGATGCATCATTATTAAAAACTAATCAGGACAGGCTGAGATATTGCATGTGTTAAAAGACAAAGACAACAAAGCAAGGACAGACAATCAGAGGATGAAGACAGAAAAGAAGAAAACCATTCAGAGTCGAGTTTACATCAAAATCCGCTGAGCAGTAGATAACACAAAGGTCTGTTTCACAATATTTCTTTCTTGCGAGCTCTGGCTTGATATCCACTCAAGCCCCTTTCTTCCAAGAGCTGAAGCTACTTCCTGCGGCCGTCAGTGTTGCCAGGCAACTTTGTTCTCTAGGACTTTCTATCAGGAAGTGCTGCGAGTTCAAAGAATGGCTGTTTCTGTGAAAGACTCAGATGGAGGCTGCTGATAATGGAAGATGCGGTCGATATACGCAGACAGAGAGATGAAGGGGGCCCGAGCAGCAGCACCATGTAGTCGCCATTATGGCCAGATAAGAGCTGAGAAATAGCAGATGTGTGTGTGGGGGAGGAGGAGATAAATGTATAGAACCAAAATAACCACAATATTATTCCATGTGCACTGCAAATGGGAGACTTTGTGTCCGTTAGCCCCTTTCACACGTTTTGTTCACACTTAGCAGTATGTGAGAATGCAAATGTCTGAATCATGCGTCTAACATTAAAACAGACTTTACCCAGCTTCCAAGTAAAGGTCAGTGTAATGTCCGGATTAGGCTCAGAGTGAATATTATTATCTGTAGAATTCAGTGTGGGGCGAGTTGATGGCATTTATAATGCGGCTGGTGTGAAACCGGAACAATACATCTAACGGTGAAGAAGAAGGGTCACGAAGCCAACGAGATTCTTCCTGGAGGAACAATGCGATCTAACAACGTCTGTCTGCAAGGCGTGAAGCCTTAAAACAAATGTCAAGAAACAGTGTTTCTCATGACCACAAAACAACACTGTTTTGCAACGGTTGTGTAATCTGTGGCCTGTCCTGCACCCCTAGCCACACTAAACAAAACTGAGTATTTCCAGTAAGTGAGAATGCTACTTAAAAGTGGCCATTTTATACAAATGTTCAGGCTCGTATTCGTATTTTGTGGCTCTACCATGACATGTCTCCATGCTTTAATGTTCAAAAAGCTCTTTATTCTTCTCATACTGCCTGTGCTGCAGCACCTCTTTTCACCCTCTGTCTGAAAACAGAGCGCAGTCTGCTCTGATTGGTTAGCTGGCTGACTGTTGTGATTGGTCATATGCTTACATGTCCTGCTCCTTAGCCTATCACGTACATAGTGTTGGAGAACTAGCCAATAGAATTGCAGGTGTTACATAGTGATGGCAAAATCTTACGGAAGTAAACAAAGGAGGCATTTCAGGCAGGGGGTTGGGGGAAAGAAACTCCCTCTTGAGGAAACTTTGGGATGTTAGCCCTTGCAGACCATTTACATGCACTCAAACCTATATAACACACTTCAGGAAAGGGAAAAGCCCCCAAAAATCACAATATGGCCTCTGGAAACCGACAATCTTCTTCTGTGGACTACATGTGTGAGGGGTTATAGGTAAAATTCGGTAAATGTGCTGAACCCATTCCCCTGAGAGTAGATATGAGAAAAAGGCCTGTGTAGGTGTCCTCATACAAAAGTAAAAACCTCTAATGAGACAGAACACATGCAAATGTCTAAGTGCAGCACGTAAAAACTTTGTGTCCGTATATCATCACAAAGATAGCAATTTTGGAAAACTGGCCACTTGAGGTGACATCATGTACCTGTTCATGTTTGTGTTTGTGCACCCAGAATAACTGCCACCATTTTCTATTCTATAAGGCCCACAGAACACATTAAAAATGAATGTGGCCCTGCGCCGTCTCCCACAGTATAAACAGACAGGCTTTGACAAGCACACACACAGGCGGGAATAAAACCCGACTAAGCTCCAGAGTTCGGCATCAGCGCTGCTCAGGATTCAATACCTGCAGGGAGAGCAGGGTCTGGCTCTGAAGTGGAAGCCTTCACTGTGGGGCTGGCACAATGTGAGACGCAATCACAACACAGAGCAGGGACAGGAGTGAGGAGGGGGNGTGTGCCTTGGCAGGGGGAGGGGAGTGTCTGGAGCAAGAAAAATGGAGGATGAGGCCGGGAGAAAGGAAATCCCCTGGTGAGGATAATCTGCAGAATTTAACCCGAGCCAGAGTCCGTTTTTTACTGATCAAATGGAGCAATCTGATGTTTCACCTAGGCCTGAGCCATTGCAACAAAACATCTAATTTGTAATACAAATCGTTAAATTAACGATATTGGATGGGATAATAAATGTGCTTGATTATTCTCCTTTTAATTAGAAATCTATCAAAATGATCATGGTAATCTCTTTGCTGGCACTACATTTTGGCAAATATCTAGCTTTCTTTATGATCTTTTCTAAAATCATTTCAGTTGCAGGCACACATCTTACCATTTACATGTGAATATCTATGATAAAATATTTCTATATAAAAATGTATCCGTCAGAAATAACTTTAAATAACTCCTTTTTTGTATTTGCATGCCTTTATTCTTTCCCTGCATCATATGAGGAGCTTAAAACTAGTTCTCCTCAATGTAACATCCTCTGATCATCTTCCTTTTGTTTATGGTGTGATAAAATATTAATATTTGCAAACAAGAGGCTTCCTTTTGTCTCATCTTTTACACTTATAGTTGCAAATTGAGCAGACAGCCTTGAAATGCAGGAACCTTTGAAAAACTGGGAGGTTAACACTGAAATCTGACTTCAAAAAGACACCGTTATGATATATTTAATTTAAAATTCAAGGTTTGGATACGGAAGAAAGTCAAAGTCCACAAAGGAATAGTAAGAGGCGAGTGTGAAGTACGAAGAGCAAAGTCATGGACAAGCGTGTGTGGCTGCTGACACACACAAAGAGACAAGCTTGGTGATGTTGTGGTTTGATTACTGCAAAAAGGATTACTACTGAAGCAAGGTCACAGAGAGCAGCATAGAGTTCTATCTCTCCCTCTCGCAGAAGCATTTCTCCTCCAGTGTCATGAAGGTTATTCCTCCCACTCTTCCCACTTTACTTCTTCCTCAACTGGGCCATTACCTGTAAAGGCCATTACTTGAAATCCGCTCTGAGAGATGAGGCTCCACTTTCAAGTGATGCTGTCATACTTGGGCAAACTTCTCAGCTACACTAAAGCAACGGTGAGCTTTCACTTTGCAGGCTAAGGTTTTACCGTAGCAAAAGTGCTTATTGGTGACAATAATCATAATTATTCTTGGCAAATGCACCACACACACACACACACACACACACACACACACACACACACACACACACACACACACACACACACACACACACACACACACACACACACACACACACTATTTACTGCCTGCACTCTTCAAACCTAATTCCCCCCCATTTTTACATTGCATTTCAATTTTCACAGCACTAATGTCCCCCTCATTTGAATCATAGGTAAATAGCACTTTAAAATCCCTGCGGAGAATCCAGTTCTTTCATAGGCAGAACAATGTAAAAGGTATTATGAACATGTGCTCAGATTTTCTAAATACAACCCAATGCTTGAGCAAGAAGAGCCATTTCTCCTCCTGTCCGCCAACTTTTTTTAACAAGTGGTAAAACCATTTAACAAGGCAAATCCAACATGCAGACACCTGCCACGACAACTGTGACGAAATATGCTTGCTAGTGATAAGCTGCCTAACCTCCTGCCACAGCCACATGAATATTTCACATTATTTTAATACACGCATATAAATTGCGTACCCTTAATGATTAAAAAGTGATTAAGTAGAGCTTCTGTCATAAAACTTTCAATTCATTTAGGAGACTTTTCCCCCCGTAATGAAGTGGTGTAGTTAACCCTGAGGGGGAAGCATGTGAAATATTGAAATGAAAAAGGAAAAGAGAGCAGGAAGTGGAGTGGCTGACGTACCATTTTGGCGAGGTTCACGGCGTCAGAGTGGAGACGGTTTCTCAGGTGAGGGTCCAGCTGGAACGCCGGTGCAATTTCCACAACCTTCAAAACAACACAACTTTATTGATAATGCAACATTGAAAACAACAACAATGTACACATTTCATCTCAAGGTTGGACACAAACAAATCCAACAGCTTCATTCATAATGTATTGTATTAGTGCTGCTTTTGACACATCACACCTCAATTATAGGACATAATTATTCAACTGCACAGACAGCGTGTCACGATGCATTAGTTAGCTCTGAAAAGCCATGCTATTATAACCTGTATTTCATTTGATGGATGTGACCTTACTTTAGTTTTCCTTCCATTTGTATCTTTTCATTGTTTTATAAAATTGTCTTAAATTATCATATATTTAGGGTTATTGCTCTTAACTTCAAGCTTGCCTAAGAAGTTGGATTCTGTTATGTTTAATGCATTTCAGGATTACATTTCAAACTTAAATAAATGAAACCGAAATTAAGAGTGAACCAAAACAATATTGTTGAAGGTCATGATACTAGGGCTGAAAGACTCTATATTGCACTGTAGAGTTTTAGAGAACTGCAGAGTGTGTTATACATCTCTATTGGTTCCTCACTATCATTACATCATCTGTCTGTAATATAACAAAAGGTATCAATCAAGGTTTAAAAGCATATAGCATAATGTGGAAATATTCAAATGTATCCCAGTTTATGATTCTTAAAGAAAAGAGCAAAAGTGCCACAGACTGGAGTTAGCTTCAAACTTATATTAAGTCAATCCCATAATGTGTTTCAGTTTTTCCTGCAGTAGCCATCAGTTTGATAAAGTATGTGCCAGGCTTAGGCGAAACAGATTGAGTGAATCATTTGAAGTCACATTTATCTTTCATTGGGTCTGCAGGGTGGGTGGGGTTCGCCGTGTTCGACAGTGATGTGTTTCAATCAACTGCATCAAAACAAGATTTCCGAAAAATCAAAACGACTCAATTTATCAAATCAAATCTTATCCCACGAAAACAACTTCTAAGTCTGTGAGCATTTCCAAGATATAGAAAAAAAGCTAAAAATATCCTATCAGCGCTCCACCATCCCTAATCTACCGTATTTCAACAAGCGACTATTCTTGTTTCTGAGATTGAAAAAGATCTTAGATTAAGGGCAGAGGCAGATTAAGCCTGGCGGAATCAAAGAGCAGCAGCTCTTGCATAAACACAGCCGCTAATATGATTATCCTCTGTAATTCGATTAAAGGGGAGAAGAAGAAAGTGATGAAAACACATGATTGAAAACGCTTTGATGTGACAATATGTAATGAAATGTTACACATGTTAAATGAGCTTCCTTTGATGAAAGCATTGAGTGACTATTAGATGACAATTTCAAAATGTTCTCATTCTATTTAGACTTATTTGTTGTTTTTGACAAGCAGGTCATGCTCTGAAACTTAATTTCCTTCTTTTTTGGGCTAATTTATTTCCAGTGCCAGCTCAGAAAAATAGCCTTGGCTAATAAATGACAATCAATTTAAAGCTGTATACTTATAAATAAAGTGTTTTGGTTGATTCAAGTTGGTGGAGTATTATGGAGCTGCTTCATTTGTTGCCAAGTCTCCCATCTCACAGCATTAGCAGTGGTTATGTTGTCATTGTTTCATAATCCTCTAACCCCCTGCTGCTAGGATACCCAGGGCCACTAATGCCATAATAATCATTGCTATAATCTGAAGCATAATTACCTTATTTATTATTGTGTGGCATAATTGGCTTGTTATCCTAAATAAGGAAATGTATATAAAACACTTGTATATTCATCAGAATCCTGCATATGACCTTTGTTTTAATGCCCCCCATCCACTTCATGCTAATCTCTTACAAACAACAGAAACGCCATGAAGATAATCTCAAAATAAAGTCAAACATTAAGTCGGGTTGAATAGGGGACTTCACCTTTTGGTGTCTCCGCTGAATGGAGCAGTCTCTCTCGTAGAGGTGGATGACATTTCCATATTTATCGCCTGGGGAAAGACAAAGAGAGGAGTGGGTGAGACAAGGAAAGCGGAAGGAACAAAGAAAATGAGAAGATAATCGAGGGTATGAAGAAAAAGAAGGGGTTGAATTCAAGTACAGGAGAGTTTAAGAAACAGGAATTCATAGTAAGATAAATTGAGACATTGGGAATGAAACAAGAAAGAAGGGGAGAAACTGGAAAAGTCCAAAGTGAAGGAGGGAAGGAGGCAAAGACGAGGCTTTAACAGGTAATTCAGAAAATTCACAAAATCCCTGACATGCCCTAAAGACATTAATTAATCACAGTGAACACAGAGAAATACAGCTCGATGAACGCTGAAACATGAAGAAAGCCCAACCCAAAGCACAGACAGACATGAGCCTGATAACATAACTCTTACAGTATGCTGGAACATGCACTGTACAATATACTGTATGTCTGAAGTGCAGACAGACTTCCTGTAAGTGTCAGTGTTGAATTTCAGTTCTATACAACTGAGTGGTAGTTATGTTCACTGTAATAGGAGGAAACAAAGGCTGGAGAATCCTCCACTGGCCAATAAAGCTCATTCAGTCTCATTGTTCATGTTCCTCCCTTAGCAATACCACACAGGATTTGTATCCAACTTGCCGTCTTAATGAACCTAGATTGATTCACAGCTATGAAAGGACACATAGTCAAATGCAAACACAGAGGGGAGTGCACTTACCGAGGATCTGTACTTCAATATGCCTTGGCTTTTCCAGAAACTTCTCGACAAACAGGGCTCCGTTCCCAAAAGCCGTCAGGGCTTCAGAGTAGGCCCGCTGGTAATTCTCCTCAAGTTCCTGACACACAGACGAGAAAGAAATCCATTCAAGTCTGAGTTACTATCCGAGAAGGAAGAGTGGGTTTGTGTGTTTTTCAAAGAGTTTTGTAGTTTAATCTCAGCAACACTTTCATTTTTCGGTTTTAATTTGGATTTTATATTCCCTTCCCTGTCATTCACACTTGATGTTGTGCAGATTTTTCCCATTCTTTTGACACAAATGTTTACACCTCCTTAGGGAGCACGATTCTACACAACATCTCGGGTAGCGGATTAAGGGAGGTCACGCACGAGCACGCTGGAGGTCATGACACAATCTGTGTTTGTCAGTGTGTGACGTCCGGCCTGGCCCTTCAGACTGCTCTACCCGGCAAAGACTGAGTCACTATCATGCTGCAGGAGAAGATACCATTCCTCATCCGTCATCTCAAAGCAAAGAGAAAACAACATACTCACAGGACTGGTACAAATGGAAAACGTGATTTAAATAGACCAGAAATTGTGCCTCTGAATAGGAAACCCAAATAAATGTCAATGTCCCATATGTGTTCCGATTACATTTCTATAAAATCAGGAAGTGTGCATCAACAGGGCTCTAAGTGTTAAACCACTCTGTTTCTGATGATGTGTCATGCATAAAAAGGCACTATCAAAAAATGTCAACATTGCAAACTTATGATTTTCCCCGTTTTCTTTTTCCACATTGTTTGGTTCACAGCGCAAATCTAAAACATCAAAAAAGACATCTGCTAGCACAACTTGTACAAATAGATTTCCAGATTTCTTTGGTCCTATGCGAATTGTAAATCTTCTGGTTTGGGATTCTAGAAAACAAATAAAGCCTTTTGGTCACCTTGGTCTCTATGGTGGGCATTTATTGACATATTCTAACATTTGATAGACATGATCTATCAACCAAGAGAGAAAATTGGCAGATTAATCAATAACATCTTCACGACCCTAATAAATCACCTGATAAATTCATTATTTTATATTAATTTGTCCGTTTATGGTCAGAAAAACATTTTCTACTACTTTCAGGGAAATAAAGATGGGATAAAGCTTGAGATGCTTTACCAGTGTTAGTAGAGGGATTTAAAGTCACACCTCGCAGAGTTGTCAAATCATTGGAACACCACTGTTTTGTCAATGACACAAAATACTTTTAAAAGACTAAGGTGAGCAGGAATCTATTTGTACTCCTTCCACATCGCTTCAGATCGTCTGTCAGCTTCAGCCACTGGAGCTTTGATACGTGCGCTCGCTTTCACGCTTACGCTTTGGGAAAGCACTTCAAACTCGGAGCAAAGCTCTGGCACTTTAATTCTGCTTATCAGTAAACATCTCTTCCTACAATATGTGGAGAGTACTTCCGTCTGTTAAACCGGAATACAAATGACCAACAAGATGGCCCTAATGGAATAAAGAGGCAACCGACGCATTGTTGCTGTGGTCCCACCAGCACACAGAAACCTTTTTTACAGTTTCCTCACAGTATCATCTGGAGGCCCCTGCGACTTAGCTGACTGGAATGTCAACAACTAATTAATTAGACAGGGGTACAACTCAGAAAAGGTCATACTTTCCAAAAGGATTGCACACTGTTGAGACTCCAAGGCTACAGTACAACACTGTTATTTGTTTGTAGACGGACAATGTCTTTGGTAGCACTGCGATGTTTGGAATTAACCCTAGTGCCCTCCTCGAATTTTCAACCTTTCGACCCCTTCGTGGCAAAAATGTACACGCCCATAATAACTGCTATTAAAATCATACATATTTGTTTCTTTTTTCATGAATCACTTAAACGACTTATAACGTACTCAAAACTACCAAACATTCAATCATTTTCAGGATTTTAACCCTTTAAATGCCTTTTTCATTATTTTAATTATTTAATTTCTCTCAAAAATGCCTCATTGACTTCCATTCAGACCACATTTTTTGATCTCACTCCCATTGCAGTATAAAACCATGCATTTCATTTAGAAGAAAAGTAGTGATATTTGATGTTCTACTCTATTCTGTGTGTGTGTGTGTGTGTGTGTGTGTGTGTGTGTGTGTGTGTGTGTGTGTGTGTGTGTGTGTGTGTGTGTGTGTGTGTGTGTTGTGTCTCTGAAGAGGTGCTTGATTACTCAAAAACAAAAAACAACTGTTAGTGTGTTTATGCACCTGGCTGCCAAAGATAAACATGCAAGGGCTTATTTCTTTAGTGAGCAGAGAAGGAGAAAGACCTGGAGCAAAGAGAAGGAACTAAAATGAAGCATTTCAGTTCAGAGGAGACTTCAGAAGTAATCTTGTAGCCTTCTTCTGCCAGCGAGCTGCAGGACTCATCTGAAGAAGACACAAGGTTCGAGGGGGGTCTGACACTGAATGCTCTCTGGAGTCCAGCATTTCTTTGAGTTCCTCTGACCCTTCATCTGAAAGTGGAGAGGACACTGAGGGTCCGGCCCACCATCCACCACCACGGGGGGCTTTCTTCCCATAATCTGTGAGGACACCCTGGTTTTCCCCAGCTCCTGGGAGAACAACCTCCGTTCTTCTCTGTCTCCTCACTGTGGACGGGACCCTCAGTGTCCTCTCCACTTTCAGATGAAGGGACTGATGAAGGGACAAAGAAGACTTCTTGCAAAAATCCATGCCAAAAGCTGTAACACAGCTGAAATGATCACCAAATCAAAAAAATGTACAAAAATGCCAGAGGAGGGCACAAGGGTTAAAATAACTTAATGCGCTTATTTCGACTGATATAGCAATTGCCATATGGTTCACCATATTGGAGGGATCGGAGGCTATTTTTAGAGGATCTGTTCCAAACGAATTAGTTGTGTTAAGTGTGTAGAATAGGATATCTAGGAAGGGTTATCATTCAAATTGTATTAAAATTGCATTCATCCAAACGGTTTTTGACATTTTAGAAACATTTAAAAACATTTCTAAGGACAAATAAAGGATAATTATAACTATTTTTAAATGAATGTGGTATTTTGGGAAGGGTAAAAGTTAAAGTGATGATTTGCAGGACCTTATTCATTGTGACTTAATATATTTTTTATACAGAAATATAGAACAGTGAATGCTAGCAGCCATGAAGCATGAGGAGGTGGCAGCTCTGATTCACCACTGATCTGTGCCCTCTTCTATCTGATTGGACAAAAAGCATCTGCTTGTTGAAAACCTTCGACATGGTCAGACTTGAGAGGCCGACACAGGGGAGAACTGCACACACACAAGGGCCGTGACCAAATGCACCCCCCACAGGGCCTCCACTCACGGCGGTATGAGAAGTCCAGCCGCCGCCAGTGCTCTGCTGACATAAACAGGGCTGACAAGTAGCAACTTCCTGGTGTCTGTGGCCCTACATGACTCTATTTCCCTTTTTATTTACAAATAATATCTCACTAAAGGACGCTAAAACCTTCATATTTTGTTGTGAGGTGACATTTTTGTTCTATTTGATGATGTACAGTAGTGTTATTGGATGAGCTTTGCCGTTAACAAATCTAAGAGGTTAAGACATTTTTCTTACAGGTTTATAACAAGCATCTCTTAAAACATCACTTGCAGTGAGTGAGCTGCTGCTGCTGCTGCTGCTGCTGCTGGCTGGTCATGCTCTGAAAGCTTTATGCATTTGTGTTAAGTGGCTGGACCCTCTACCCAAAGTATAATTATATATAAACATCAAGCAGACTCAACAAAGAGAAGCATGGTATATGCATACATCCCTTTGCTAGGCAAATTCTAAAAATGCTGTACATCATGTACTGTAACCTCTTAAACACTGTTCTTTGGACTTTGTATAGATGTTTTATTTTTTGCTGCATTATTAAGTTTGAGTAAAACAGTTTAAAAAAAAGGTTTTAGTGTTTGTTTTTTGCGTTATCCTAGAAAAATGTAAGGCAAGTCTGCAATCTCGAGATGACGTAAGACAAAGCCTTTACCAATTGGCACAGGCGTCATACAATTCTTATTTCTATAATGGACTTTTATTTGAAACCACCATTTTATAACCAGGACCAATGCCTTCATGCACAAACTAGAACACGCGTTATCATAGGAAGATATAGAAACTAAAATGCATGATTTAAAGCAAATTGATTATAGAGTAACCTGGAAACAAGCCTACATCACAGTGTTGTGCTCTCATCACTGTGACAGCTCATCACTGCTGTGAGGGCGGCAGAACTTAATATGGCTGAGATGAGGGAGATGTTTCCTATCTCCTGATCATATTTATTTATGTTGGGCTATGTATTTTGTAAGTTAAGCCATTCTATCATATACATATTGCACATGTTGATTGCTATTGTACATGTTAAAATGCAATAGATGGGATTATTTTATCTTTACATTGAGATTCATATTGGATATGTGACCCCTAGATAGCTACAATATTAAAAAGTCATTTTTATAATGTCCTCTGCTTCAGTAGCTGACAGAAGCAATTTCAAAGAACACACAATCACACACACCCGAACACACAGGGTGATTGGCGGCCGGAGAGATAAATGACCAGGTTGTAATTTCCGTGACATTTCGCCTTGATTCAAAGCAAACAGAAAATAATGAATATGAAAAACTTAATTTTTGCAGGATATAAATTGGGTTAGAATTGTCTTTGCTGGACATGCGACAGGACAATGTTTATTTTGTCAGAGCTAGCTGCAAAATGACAATGACGCTCACCTCGTACTCACGGACCACCCTCATGCCGCGGCCTCCTCCTCCGTACGCTGCTTTGAAGATGATGGGGAAGCCGTATTGTTCTGCAAACACCTGTGCGTCGTTCAGGCAGCTGATGGGTAACGCGGTCCCCGGGACCACAGGTACACCTAGGTCAAGTAAGTGGACAAATAAGTGAGAAACTTTACAATTTCAATGAATGTCCTAAGCACAATGGTGGAAGAAGAACTTTTAAATGTAGCAATAGCACATCTAAAAAAATATTCTGCATTCAAAATCTTACTTAAGAAAAAGCACAAAAGTATTGGCATCAAAATGAACTTAAAGTACCAAAAGTAAAAGCGCTCGTTATGCATAATGCCCCATTTCAGAATCATATTGAGCTACTGGATAACCATTAGGATTATCGATGTATGTCTATGTCAGCTGGTAAAGGTGGAGCTAATTTGAGTAACTATATATACTGCTGCTGGATATCTTAACCTGTAAGTATGTCAACGTTTATTTAATAATTATTTTGTATTAGCTAATAATCTAAACCTAAAATGTAACTAGTAACTAAAAGCTGTCAGATAAATGTAGTGGACTAAAAGGTATATTACATTACATGTCATTTGTTAGACGCTTTTATCCAAAGCGACTTGCATACATTCAGTACTGTGGACAATCCCCACAGGAGCAATTTGGGGTGAAGTGTCTTGCCCATGGACACAACAACATGCTGACTGCAGTGGGACTCGAACTTGCTCTCCCCTGATTTGAAGTCCAGCACACTATCCACTGAGTCACAGCCTCCCTATACAGTATCTCAGCCTCCCTATACAGTATCTATCTATCTATATATATATATATATATATATATATAGCACCTGTTTTTATATATATATATATATATATATAATTATTTGTTTCTAAAATGAAGTGGAGTAAAGGTGTAAAATAGCATAAACTGAGAATACTCAGGTCAAGTACAAGTACCTGTAAATTGTACCATATTTGAGTAATGTACTTTCCATCAGTGCCTAAGCATTTATATTTTGAATTGTGTAGCATGCATTTCCCCAAACCTCCAAACAGCAGGTGTTGCATTGAATTACCAAAGTACCCTACAGTATATGCAATTAATTTAGTTTGATAATGTTTAGTGAAATGTTGCAAAGTGCATATTTGTTTTTGAATGATTTTAGTTGCGTTTTTCAGCAAAGATTCTAGACAAAGTGGTTTCATACTGCAATTAAGTCTCACAAGGTCAGTGTTTGTTTCAAAGATTGATGACGCACAATAGGAGGAGGATGCTTTAAACTCAACATAAACAGAGCTTGTTTTTATTGTTTCTTGTGGTGGTTGATGACGTTCAAGGCGGAATAATAGGTTGCTTAGAGGTCATCCCACACGGGTAGGGAAGTGAGTAGTTAAGACAAGAAGCATCAGAGCTTATGCCAAATTTGGTCTAAATTTCAAATAAAATCAAACTTCAAGAATCAGAAATATAACAATCATCTTGTCTATGGTCTTGGTTCTACAAATGTTATTTTGAGTAAAATGCTGTACATATTATAAACAACAGGTGTTCCAATCATAGCTTGTCTTTCCTCTGAATCTCCTCCACTTTGTGCCCCTCCATACCTGCACTGATGGCCAGGGCCCGAGCCTCCACCTTGTCTCCCATCTGGCGGACCACCTCTGGGCTCGGTCCGATGAACATCACTCCTGCGTCTATGCAGGCCTGAGCGAAGTCCGCCCGCTCCGACAGGAACCCGTAGCCGGGGTGGATGGCGTCCACATTGTTTTCCTAGGAAGTGAGGGAGAGAGACATGGAGAGAAGGTTATTCACATGATTATTAGGTGGGAAGTAGCGTAGGCTGCACAATACGATGTTATTGCTACTTTTAAAATGTTGCAATATGCTGAGTATTGCAATACAAATAACATAAACTGCAATATATTTCCTTTTCTCAACAGCAAACTATGCAGTTGATAAACATGTTGATAATAAGATAGCCACGTTTTTATTTCATATGTGCTTTTGTTTGCTCCGACGTCTCCACCATTGTTTTGTTGAACTTCCTGCTAATCCCCAAACCTACGAAAACAAAAGAGTACATTTGATGGCAATATTATTATTTATTAAAGAGCAACTGTTTGTGTCCCAAGTATGGGTCTTTGATTTCACCTACTATGCTGTATTGATATTTTTCCTTTATCCATATTTATTATAGTCTTCATCTTGCACCTGTTGGATAAGACATGACTTCTTGCTAAAGCTAATACAGCTAAGAAAGAAACCCAGAGAAAGGAGATGTAGCCCGGTAAGCACCAGGCGTGTTAAATACAGAGTCTCTGCTGGGGCCCCAGTAAACACTTGGCTGACTGTTGGAGAGTCCTCATCACACACACCAACCTGCACGCTTTACCCCACGCTGCCTGCTGGCCAGGGGAAAGGGATGTATGCTAACGTCAAAGGGGACTGTGAGATAATGACATACTCTATTCTCATTCTATCTTAGCTGCTGTCGCCTTCATCATCATCTACTCGATGGACACCGGAGGGGAACTGAACGAGTGCCGGCACACATCACATAAGGGTCAGGGGGAAGATTCTGAGAGGAACACACACACTGTAGTAGGCAGATACAGTAGCTGCCGAACCTGACAGATAGAGCCATCTCTGGATCAGTGTGTGCCATCTGCTCTTGGATACGAGGCAGACTATAATTATGGGCTGTCCCGTTGTTAAGGGAGCTGTTACTGGCAGGCCAGAGGAGGATAGGAGCCACACACACATAAAATGCAGCAAGTAGGCTCACTCACACTCATGAATACAAAGTGACACGAATGAAGACGTACACACCGGGTGACACACACACACACACACACAGAAGCATCATCATACACTCGTGCTTTCACAGTTACAAGCAGAAAGACACATTCTCGCATTCAATGTCACACACAGAAGGTTCTGGGACAGATACGCATGGTTATTTTGGTCAGACAGTAGCAGAGCGATACGCAGTGTGGTGAAGAAGAACAACGGATACTCTGAATGTGAAAGAGTGAGAACGAACACACACACACACTCCTTTGCTGGCGTGGGGTGGCCGGGATCCCAGATAGGCAGAAGGATTTTGAGAAATTAGTTGGACGGCGGAGGCTCCCGACTTGGCTGGCTGACCACATCCCCAAGCAGAAAATGATAAACCTCGAGAGATTGATCAGAGAAACGATAATGAACAACTGGCAGCATATCCTGCAGGAGGGAGGGTGAGGAGGGGAGGGAGCTAACAAGAAACACAGCATCTCATCCAACGCAATTATAAAGAGGTAAAGCGTGATAGGGGAAAGGAGAGAAATGGTAGAGGGAAGCAGCAGCAAGAGGAAAATAGGAGGTGAGGAACAATGGGAAGAAAACAGGGAAGGAAGAGATACAGTGGACATAAAATAGGTCGTTTCCCCTTTTCCTTCTTCCAACAAAGCCAAGTGTAAAACGGAGAGCGATAAAATGATTTGTTTGACACTTATACGCCTAGTTTCATGACATTGCAATCCATTAAGTGTAGCTGTATCAATTGCAGCGACCCGACTACCCAAGGCAAGAAACTAAGTTGAAAGAAAATACATCGACCACAACACATCAGGGGAGCACACTCGCCTAACTTCTTCATCTAATGGACTAAACTTTTGAGTCATTTTTCATGCAGAAATGTCGTTTTACACCGTTTGCTCATTAAAGAAACTCTTTAAAGTGAAAGCTTTCAGACGAAAAAAAAGGGGGATGAATTATTGAATCTACATCCGTACTATTTGTACCACTTCTCAGTGCAAGATGGAGCCAATAATGACGACACATTGCAAGCTACTCTGGAGAACATATGCTGATTATATGTTGTTGTGAGAGCAGCCAAAGCCCAATACTTTTATTGTATGAAAATGCACTAGATGAGTACTTGAAACCCATTTATCCGTTCTCTCAGATGAGATTGAAAAGTGTTAAAAAAGCAAGACATTTTTAAAAATTCATTTTTTTCCTCCAAAAGTGTTGGACCCTACTGGAATTTAAATATTGTATGCGAATATCTCTGAGAGTCCTCATCCTCGGTTTCTATCGTTGGCTGTACGATAATCATTTGCAATCTTCAAAGCCCAAGTTGAAGAAAAACCCTAATGACATCACTTGGGAGATTTTATTTTATATTGTAATACTTAAGAAGCTCCTCCTGGGCCGCAGTAGCCATGAAGCATTACATCTGCTCTCTGAGGATGAGCACTGTAATGTAAACCAAAATTAGGAAACTAACTATCACACTTTGACCCCTTTGTATTGGTCTACTGCTAAAGCAAACAACATTAGACTTTCCTTTAGTGGGAAATCCATGTTTGTTTGTTTTTTTTAATAACATCCGTTACCTTGGCCACTCTGATGATGTCAGGAATGTCCAGGTATGCTGCAACAGGTGCAAGGCCTTTTCCAATCAGATAAGCCTCGTCCGCCTTTTGCCTGTTAAGACAAGATAAAGGGATACATATCAGTGTAAGGCAGTGTCATGGAAGCAGGTGCAAGCTCAGCAGAGAGCAGGCACCAGTATTTAGTCTGTTCAATAAATAAAAAAGTCCTCCAATCAGTCATTGGTTACAAGTCTGTGCAATATATTTGGAAAAGTCAGAGTGAAATAGAACAAGCTGAGAAAGATTAGGATGGGTGTACCTGTGAACTAAGCATAGTGATTACCTGAATGTTCAAAATGTTGACACAATTATTCTTATGTCCAGACACAAAAAAAAACCTGGCCTAAACAGCTCGAGTGGGGGAAAAAGCTTCCAAGCTTCTTTTAATTGCTTTTGGCTCTCATCAACTGTTAGCCTTTTATGCTCGATATACAGCAGTGGCAGCAGCAGTTTAAAAAACATCTGTCCGTTACGCTTTCTTTATTTAAAACCCCGAGGACCCATTTGGCTGAAATGTGGCAGAGCTCAGTACCTGTGCATTTGTCCGGTGTCCTGCTCCGAGTAGACGGCCACGGTTCGAATCCCGAGCTCGGTGCAGGCTCTGAACACACGGATTGCGATTTCCCCTTGAAGAAAAGATACATGTTGTTAATGTATTTTAATAATTCACCAGTAATATTTTCTTATACGTTGCTCCTTCTTTGCTTCACATGTATTCTCTTTATTTATTGAAATGTTTTGACCCACAGTTTAGTAGATTGTGTGTATTGGGAGGTAGTTCTTCATCTGTCATAATCTATTTTTCATCAGAACACATGTTGTATGGTTCTATCAACATCCTGGGACTTTTTTGCAAGAAATACCCCCACTGAGATAATAAAATAAACTTTGAGTTTGTTATGCCACAATGGATGTGAAAACAAGACAAATCCATCTGGTATACTTCATCACACTGTGAAAAATATCAACAGACACAGCAATAAGTCAACGTTTTTTGTTGTTGTGTGAAAGTGTAATGTCTCAGATTTAGACAACCAAAACACTAGCAGGCTTTTATCTGCTGTCACTGGAGCCAAATACTTGGTTTTTTGAAAGCACACATTTTGACGGAGAAAAAAAGGTTTAGTCAGAGAAAACTAGTAAGATGTGTTGTTCTGGCTTGAAAGGGGGGACAGCGCTTAGACATCTAGAGAGTGCAAAAGAGAATTCTGAAGAACGACAACAGTAGGAACACGAAAAGGATGAAAGTATGAGAAAGGACGGAGAGGAGAAGACAGAGAAAATGTGATGGATCAAAGGTGAGGAAACACAAAAAGTTGAGGGGGGAAAAAGAGAAAAAGGACAAAGAATTGAGGTACCAAAAGAAACAGTTTAGCAGGTTTACCAACATGGAATGATAAGTGGAGAGGGCACAGTGAAGGAGAGAAAAAGGAGGAGACAAAGTACGCCATGCTAAAAGGAGAGGAGCAAAGTCATGAGGGGCGAGAAGGAAGACAGCAAGGGGTTCGGAGGAAAATCACATCTGACAAGTGTAAAAACATCGAGGAGTGCAGAGGGAGGGAGGAGAGGAAGGAGGAAAGGAAAGAAGAGTATTACTGAAGCAATGGCAGAGAGGAGATGTGCTTGGTGAAGTGGAATCTTGGCTGATATGATGTGATGGTCCAGTCTTTCTTTTCATCTCACACACACAAGCACGCACACACATGCTCTGAAGCCGGTCCAGTGCACTGCAGTGTGATGAATGTGATCTAATATGGTGTTGAGATCGCATCACGCCCATATGAAGGAGAGAGACTGACGGAAAGCCCTCTGTATGTGTGAGAAACCACAATCTATTTGAATCACACTGATGGATTTAAGCAGTTAAATAGCGCCTTTATGGGGGGGTGGACATGAATGTATGCATGTATGCGCAACGCAGACTTTATGTGCAGCAGGAGGCCTACAAAAAGGACCACATGTGTGCACAATTGGAATCATATTGGGAACCCACGCAACATAAATCTGAAATAATGAAACACTGACGCAAATCAAGCACTATAAATGTGTCCTCTGGAAGGAATATAATGAGGCTCTAAAAGCCGTTTGACAAATAAATACATTTTTTTTCTATCAAATCCTGACAGAGCTTCTTTAATTGCACACTGACGGCCTCTCTGGACAGCATTAGCATTATTACGAGAGGGTCCGGTGATTACAAGTCTTACTGGAACACGTCAGTCATGTTAATGCTGCGTCCGACCGGCAGACTGGTGACTGACTAGTGTTTAGAAAACTCAGCGCCTCGCTGTAATTATTTGTCCATTCAGACCTCAATGCCAGTAAACGGCAATTATGGGGATTTCTGGCAGCCTGACAAACAAATATTTGGGAAATAAATTGAATTATAGACACTGTTTGTCATATAGCTGTTTTCAATATGTCCTGGTAAATAACTTAGAAGCAGCATAAAAATATCTTTAAGTAGCATTTTCCTTTTGACTTTTTTTTGTCCGTTACAAAAATTGATGTTTAAAAAAGTGGATTCAAAATAAAAAGACATATGATGCATACATCTTTTAGACTTGCAGATTCCATTATTCTAAAAAACACTGTACTGCTTTTCTATATAAGCCAACAACGTGCAGCCATACAATGCGTGCTAAAATGCTAGCATGAGCTACATCAAAGTAAATGTTGGCCATTAAAAATTAAGGGTCTGTTCTTTTGCCTGGGCAAGATAGTAACATTATAAATGAAAACGGCATTAAATGTAATAGTGCTATCGAGTTGCTTGTATTTCTGGGGTAAGTTATTGCCATTGGACGGCTCTTACCTCTGTTGGCCACCATCACTTTGTTGATTGGTCGGATGTTGCTCTGCGGGGTAGAGTGGGAGAAGCGCGGGGACACACAGGTCCTCCTCACAGCCAGCATCCCGAGGCCGCCTCGTACTACAGTGAACCGCAACATCCTGAGAGGAACAGAGGACATGTTTAACACACAATGTCTATACACTTTTTTACTTCACATGTCATTAAGCTGTCGATTTTATCCTAAGCAGTGAAGATTCAACACTGCAACATGCCTCTGGGACCATTTTGAGGTTAAGCATCTTGCCCAAGGACACTTTGACATGTGGACTGAACCACTGACCCTCTGATTGGTAGACGGTAGACACCCATTAAACCCTGAGCCATAACCATTTACACTTAAACAGTAATAAGTGAAGGTAAGAAGTGTCAGAAATGAGGGAACACGTTGATCAGGAATATGTTTTTAGAGACACTAGCACACAGAACAAATATTTAAAATACAGTGTTCATGAGAGGATATCTAACTGCTTTTGTGCTGCAAAAATGGTTATACATTGGTACTTCAGAAACAAGAACCAATTACATACAGCTCATACTTTGTTTACACTCCCTGTGTTGAATCCATTTGCTAAGTTCAGCTTCTCAGGTGGGAAAAGACGCTTTAAGGAACAAGATAAGAAGATGATAATGCTTTGAAAGTGATTAAACAAGGAGGTGTGAGCCGTGTTTAGAGAGATTTAATCTAATAAAGCGACCAACCCTTATTAAGCCGTTGCCTAGGGTTGTGGGAGCGTTTCAAGTGTGTGCCATTTTCCTAAAAAATATAATTGGTGCAGCTGATATTAAGTAGGAATCTTGCATTATTCCAGTACAGAAGAAGTGTTATATTACGTGGGACTTATTAGAGACCTGTGGCACTGTCTTCATGCTGCGATTAAAGTTTGGTAAATATTTTGCTTGCAGTTTGCTTATATGATGGCTTTGAGTATAGACAATTGTATATTTTCTATTCCCAACGTGAAGCTTTTATTGTGGTCCCTTGAGTATAAGGATCTAAGTATTCTAATGAAAACATATATATATAAATATCCATATGACTCAACATGAGTCAGATGCCATCAGGTATACATATAGAATTAAATAAAAACTAATTGAAAAAAGGGATCCAGTATCACGATAGAAAGAAGTGGTCTTAAAGTAATACAAATACCACATTGTTTATAAATTCAAAACATATGCATACAACAACTTTAGCAAAACTAGTTGTTTTTTAAGTGTAAAGAAAAGTTACTGCTTAGAAAAAAAAAATCAAACATCTTCCAAAACCATTTGATTCAGAGAGCCAATCAGCTGCTGCTCTGTTCTCCAGCTCCCAATCAGCAGCAGGTGTGTCAAATTAACCACAACAAGTTCCCGGTGTGTTAGCGGAGACTTTAAAAAAATAAAATTACAATAGAGGCTTTCATTGTCTTTTTGCTTTCCCAGCCATTTCCGAAATTAGGATTAGAGTGAAACAGACACGCTGTACATGAAAGAATGTTACATAATGAAAAGAGTAGCATTTTTGTTTTAAGGACTACGTCATAACACTATCACATCAAAAAGACAACTATAGCAAACAAGACGCACACAAACAAACAATTCATTTCCACCAATTAGTGTCATTTTAGGTTAATGGCTGCATTTTCTATCAATAATGTCTTGAATTGAAGCACCCCATAACCACACACAACCACATGAGAATTACACACACTTATGTATTAACTACCTTCTCAACGTGATGTACTTGGCTCCTTCACTAAACTTGAGTGGTGGCAGTGTTTCCAGCAAAGGTATAAGCTTCTTCTTCTGCTCTGACTAACAGGCTACAGCTCACTGACAGTGCTCTGCTGCCCCCATGTGGCCAAACAGCAGCAGACCAGAGCTAAGCTGACTGAGTTGCACATAATAAGCTAAAACAAACCCAACTGATTAGTCAAGTTATATTTACAAAATGTCCGGTTTATTATACACTTAGAAGGGCATATGAGAGGAGTAGCTATCAAGAGGTATCACACAGGTGTATTATTTGCAAAACGTTATTGTTATGTAAATTATTTTTAGCATTGGTGACGGATAAAAGGCTTGTGATATTTGACAGATGATGCCGCTGTGCCACACGTCATATTTAATTGCGGTGAAAAATGGCAGCTCCAACGCACAATTGTCTCATTCTTAAATGCCAGCTGTCTCTTTATGTCCACCTCTGTTAGGACGTCTGTTGGGAGGGACTAAGAAACAAGGAAAAGAGAGGGGGAAAGGATGTACCAAGTGAGAAACAAGAAGAGGGGATAGTAGCATTGACTGAGACTGGAGAAAACTATTACTTTGTGCCGAGTGAAGTCTCATTGTGCACAACGACTTCCTGTTGTTACCTGTGGTTAAAGAGTGAATTACCACATAATGTGTGTCCTGTCTAGATTTAAAGATAATTAACCGTTTGTACTGCACAAACAGTCAATACATAACCAGTACAATAACATGTGGGATGTACTATAAGTCACGTATAGTGGTAAGTGACAGAATAAAGAATTAACTATGAAAATGGTGAACTGAGACAAGAACCAATGAATAAATTAGACGGCCGATGAATGCCTCGAGACTGAAGACTGTAGTAGAGTAGCTCAGGTTGAAACAGTATCCTGCATCTACACAAAAGCAACAACGTCACCATGAAACAGATACAGGTTCCCAAAGCCTGAATACAACAGCAAACTGGGACAAAACAGGACAAAAGTACAAGCTAAAAACAGGTCAAATATGATCCATCAAACACAGATAATAACAACCTCAGAGTGTGTGTGCCTCTGATGAAATTAACGCATACTGTGTAAGCTTTGCAGATATAATAGCCAGGCACACAGAGGTATTACCTGCTAATCTATCTCAGAGATAACAGTCAAGTGAGTACAGAAATCCCCCCGAAAAAACCAACATTTTAAATATATATCTCACAACCATGTAGTGTCCACAAGACAAACACACACTACAATCAAGTCATACTGTATTGGTGTTGAATTAAAAGATTATTATCTTTTTATGAGTTTCCTAAAAAAGGGAAAATGTGCAGAAACATGGCAAAAAAAAAATAATCAAACGCCAGAATGCTTTGATTTAAGTGCATAAATGATTGTAAAGACATGACGTTAAAATATGACCAACCAATAGTGAACTGATGGTTAATTTAAGATGTGGCTTGTAATCTAAAATGCTCTTTAATCTCCTAAAAGCTGGAAATCTTCCAGACACTGCTGCCTGCAGGGGAAAGAAACCTCCAGACTTGAAACAGCTCACAGTGATGGTTTTCCATCCATATGCCAAGATGTAAACAACTCATCTAATGTCTGAAAATGAGTGCTGATCAATCAATTGTTTTCTAAACGTCAACGTGATATGGACATGTGCAATAAAGTCATCCCAAAAGACTGCCTGAAGCTGCCCCACAGGCTTTATTGTCATAGTCACAATAACATCGCAATCTTAAATCCCATGCATCTCAAACAACGTAACAATATATTAAATAGAAATGCAATTGAATAGTGCAATGTACACAGTAAGTGTAAGTTACATGCAGCTACAAGTAAACTATATGCATGTCAAATAGCTTTAGCTGCAAACAGATGAGACAGTGTGTGTTTTATACATAGGTAAGTGTCTGCACTACACACACCCTATCCCTGAGCTTGGTGGTCTTGGTCCTGTATCCATATGGGATAAATAAAGATTGATTTGAATGTTCATTTTCTAAACCCAGCCTCCTAGACTCCTGGTGCTAGGATGGGTTAAATGCAGAGGCCACATGTCACTGTGTGTGCTGTGTGCTCTGCATGTGTGAACATTAAAGATGGTTTCATCCCTCCCAATTCTTCTTCTTCTAATTGGGACAACTATGGGAAAAACAAGACCAAATTCCACTCACAGGTGAGTGTGTTCAGGGGCCTCATTTATAAAAGGGATATACGCTCAAAAAATGGCGTACGGCAGTTTCTACGCAATGTTTGCGATTTATAAAATACTAACTTGACGGGAAAACGTGCGGTCCTCCACGCAAACTCTAACCCATGCGTACGCAGTAAGCACAAAAACGGGAGAGACGAGAAACTGCGACACCGTTGGCAGAAGGAAGAATGGAGAGAAATATGTGGAAATAATACCATAAATAAAATGTTACCTCTCATTTATCATATTATGAAGAATTCATTTTCAAACATTGATTAAAGCAAATCTTAAAATGATTTAACAAACACCTGTTTGAGACTCCTCAGTGCACACAAAAACATAACTGGGAGAAATAAATAAATACGGATATGTTATTTAAAACCACCTCGAATATGTTGTGTTAATGTTATGAAATGCTTTCTCATAAATTATGCGGTAAGCAGGAGGACAGAATTACCTCTAAACTGACGCCGTTTTGCATTTCTATAGGTTGTAGATACGAGCATGGTTTTATATGTTTAATACATGTTTAATCGTGTTTTATGCCGTTTGCCAAGACTTGATAAGTTGCTCGTAAAACACAGGAGGTATGGAAACTAAGAGCACCATATGTGGTAAATTGTACAGCTAATATAACACATTAGTTGT